CCTCCAAGTAGATGGCTCAGGGGTTCAGGGGTTTTAGGGGTTTAGGGTTTTTTTGTTGTAGGGTTTAGGGTTTATTACAGGGTTTAGGGGGTTTATATAGGGTTTGGGGTTCATATAGGGTTTGGGGTTTATGGCCCAAAAACGCCCCAAGAGAAACAAGGTTTAGGGTTTAGGGTTTAGTTGAAAAGAAACACGACAGGTTCGGAGCTTCGGGGATCGGAGTTTAGGGGCGTATCTAGGGGACGTTAGGGCCAATAGTCAAGAGGTTGCCTGAAACGCAAACCGGTGCGCAAACCGGTGCGCAAACACGCACACACACACACACACACACACGTTATCGTCAAGCTTGTGTGCGATTCCAAAGGCTCACCTTCCGGCACCCTATAAACCCTGTACCGCCAGCCCCCGCAGGAAAAGGAAAGGTCCTCCAAGCCGAAAGACGGCTTCCATCCGAAAGTTCTCACCAGAGACCGGGCTTGGAGCAGCTCTGTCAACCCACCCATTCCCTCGTCTACGGCTATGAGAAATCCATGGAAACCTGATATAAGGCAAACATTCGATACCCGGGCCGCAGCTCAAAACGCCCCAGCCTCTTTGAAGGCTGAATCTTAAAACCTTAAACCCTAAAGCCCATAAACCCTGGTGCCAGGAACTCCAGGAATCAATTGTCAGACGAGCACCAAGTTACAAGAGGCCCACATAATCAGTAAGGCTGAATACCACGGTTTGAGGCTGAGAGTTTTTGGTTGAGGCTTCAGGGCTTCGGAAACATCTGTAACAAAGACAGTATTTGGCTGGAACTCCCAACAAAAATCACAACACAGCATAATCAAGCTAAGCTTCTCAGTGTGATGCTCGTGATAGTAGTGCTGAAGCCTTTGGAACCTCGGCGCACAGTGTTTAGGGCTTAGGGGTTTAAGGTTTGGGGGTTTAGGGTGTAGGATTCCAGGAAGAGACCTCAGAGGCGTTCGACAATGGTTCTTTTCAGGTTTCGAAAGAGTTTAAGACGGGCTTTGACCCTCAGGGCCCCTTTTTCGGTATGAAGGCCTCACTGTGTGAAAGCACACTCTCTTGTAATGCTCTAGGATGTAGAGTTACAGGATCTAGGTTATGCCTGCAGTCACTGCGGGCGCTTTATGAGATAAAGGATTCAAGCTTAGCGGTTTGCAGCCGCACTTCGAAAGCCAAAACTCGAAGCTCGTTCTTTCACCTTCACAACCCAAAGGGTTTGTAGCTGAAACATGATCTTACACACGACACAGTAAACCACGGCAGCCTCAACTCCGCACCGTCCCGCCCTGCCTGGACCCTACCTAGACCCGAGAACACAGAGACTCCCCTATCCCTTAATTGAGGAATATACCTTAAATTCTAGTAGGATCCGTAATAAGAGTTGAGGTATATTCCTTAATTAAGGGATATTGGAGTCTCTAGACATGTAGTGCCGTGTTTGAGAGAGACTATATATGATATGGTTAGCATGTGACAAGACTTGAGACATCAGGTCAGGCACATACAAATAGGCACTGCTCTGAGGATCGAGGTATACAGGTATACCCTAAACCCTAGACCCTATACCCTAAACCCTATACCCTTAACTCCTAAACCCAATACCCTAAACCCTAAACCCTATACCCTAAACCCTAAACCCTATACCCTGAACCCTGAATCTCTTAACTCCGAATCAAAGGAGCCTCATGCCTCCGGCCAGGGCACGCTGACGTCAAGCCCTTCACGTGTCTCTCGAAGCTTCTGGCAATGTCGACCTCTAACTCCTTGGGTCTCTGCTCCGGGCTACCACTCCTACGACTACGACGAAGACGATGACTGCTACTACTGCTGAGTTGATGCAAGGCTTCCCTTTGTAGAAACGCTGTGGTTTGAGCGCCTGCCACAGGAGCACGCACCCTAAACCACCCCAAACCCTCCTACAACCCTTTCAACCCTGAAACCTCGTGGAACACCTGCAGACCCATTTGGGAGTTTCCGAAAATAGGGGGACCCTAATAGTACCCTAAGTAGTAGGATCCTTATTATAAGGATCTATAACGATTCTAAAATGGAAGTTTCCGAAAACTAGGGTTACTCGTGGGATTTAGCCCGAATAACCTGAAGGCTGCACACCCTCGCGCATATGTAAATATGTATAAGAATACATACACGCACATCAATAGACAAGTCGTCTCGTTTATTTATATCACCTACCACTGTACAGGGGTGCTCTGACACCCTTGGCAGCGGAATGTTTCAAACCATGTGAGCTTCCGGGGACATGACTTTTGGTCTGCTTCGAGTCTTCAGATTGCCAATTTCACGGAAGTTTTCATGGAGGAAGGATTTCTTCGGTGTCTAGGAGTCAACTGTATGGCATCAAGCAGAGACGGACATGGGGACGGCTTTCAGGATGGGGACATCATCATACCAACATATAACTCCAAAAGCACGATACGACGGGGTATTTTGGCCCCAAACCTGCATCCCGAAACAGTCGCTTCAGGTGTCGGACGTAAGCACCATGGCCACAGATTTCTGAACTTCGGGGCTTGAGCTTGACGGAAACTGAAGGGCTTGCTGTTCGGATGGGGGATTCGGAGTTTCGGGGTTGCACATACGCGCAAAGGGGCTTCAACTTTGGAGTCCGAGGGCACGAGATGCCGAAGGCCCAAAGATCTTGCCTAAGGCTGGATTTAGGGGCGCTTCGTACTCACAGCTTTACGAGAAAACCTCAAAGCGTCACAAAGGCGCTGAACAATCCCCTGAACGTGGGTTTCTGCGTACCCTTCGCAAAGGCAGGATCGGTGTGTTCATCTGGACCTTAATAATTAGAACAGGGTTTTAGGGTATATTGTACTAAGACTATAATTGACTATAATTATAGTAAGGAGCCCCCCCAGTTATTGAGGCCCCCTATAGTGCATTCTTAACTACTCAAGACGAGCCGAGCCGCCTCGTGTTCCGGCTTCACATGGCCATCCAGTCGATCCTCACTTTCTCTCTCTACGATGGGTCCAGCAGCGGGCAGAGGGCGCGGCATGGCGTTGCGATAGAAGCAAGAGAAAGAATACACGATGCAGTGGCACAAAGATCCTGAACCCATCTATGAACATAAACCCGAAACTAGCTCTGAACCCTAAGAGCCTAAACCGTAGAACCTGAACCCAAATCACTAGCCTGGAGGCCTGCGACCATTCATTCGGGATGCTCTGCTTTGTTAGGGGCATGCTGGAGTTAGCTGCACAAAGTGCCAGAAGGTGCACTGATGTGAGGGCGGGGCACTTTCCTCATACGATATCCGATACCCCTCTGCCTGATCAGTTAACTTGATATGGCTGCAGACTACATACCGGTGTACGTAGGTTGTCAGTATTTCTTTTTGCACAGGGTATTGCAAAGATACACGCCCATCTATCCATCCATCCATGCATGCATGGGGATCTAAAACTATGTATTTAAATGCTTATGTATATATTGATAATGTATATACGCACGCATGCATGCATGTATGTACATGCGATGTACATATGTAGGTATACTATATATATATATATATATATGTAAATATACATATAACACAAGTATATGTATACATACCTATATATGTCTACACCCCTAATTAGAAAGTCCACATAACATGCGTAGAGAACCTTAAATGTTGCTGCCCCATATTGGCATGAAGACACTGCGCCCAGAGAGGGTGTTACGGTTTCGGGTTTAGGGTTTCGGGACCCTAAACCCTAGAAATCCGAAAGCCTGCGCAGGGAAAACAGTGGAGAGAAGCTCCTTTCGGCGATTCCGATGATGCAAAAAGCTTTCGACAGCCCCCACTTCGTGGACGGACTGGGAAATCCCCATGCGGTCCAAGTAGAGTTGAGGGTTTAGGGAGTTAGACAGATTTGGGGTTTAAGTTGTGTTGAGTGGACACGGGCTCAGCCTATCGGTTATAACTTTCGGGTTTACGATGACCTCACGATCCATGAAGAAATGGGGAGCCTCAAAACAGGCAGCAAGGACCTAGCGAACTCTGACACAATTTTGACGGCTCGGCGGTTCGGATTGCAAGAGGAGAGGTTGCTATTGATTTCCTACATTTTTCAGGCTGAAGCATGCAGTTCCCAGAGACTCCAATATCCCTTAATTAAGGAATAGACCTTCAACTACTAGTATATAGGATCCCTTCTATGATTTGAATATACCAAAAACTAAAGTATAAAGGATCCCTCTTAATATGATTTAAGGTATATTCCTTAATTAAGGGATATTGGAGGCTCTGGGTTACTAGCAATCACTGCATACGCACATCGACCAAATCGAACCCAAAGCAGAACCTGGATTATTGAACACTTGTAGAACCCCGCCACAACACGCGGACCCTCTGGGCACTTGCCTAACATGGGGGACCTTGATCATCAGAGCACGGTTTTGGGATTATTGTACTACGAGTATAAAGGAACTGAACACTATTATTCACTAGTCCGACCCCTGAAATAAAGCCACGTGGACCTGCACGGGGTGGTGAAAATGTAAAGCCCCAAGCTGGGCTGATAACCCGTGTGTGCGACTTTGGCGGTGCCAATTTGGAGCTTCGGGGCATTGAAGCGATGAACTACAGAGAGTTTTGGGGTTAGGGCTTGGGGAAAAGCTCCCGCAAAGTCATAATTAGGTTACAAGGCAGTGCCAAAGTGGCTCGGGATAATGCCGCTGCCTGCAGCGAGGAGGACGCGCTCCATCTGGAGGCATAGGGCCAATTCGATGGCAGGTATTTAACTAAGGCTGCGCGAGAGCTTCACTTCTGCGGCCTGACATACACTGTGCGACTCTGCAATACAGGCAGTGTATATTGCTGAAGCCACGTAGAAAACCCTAAGCACGAAGGTGCTTTGCTCGCGGCAGCACTGGCCGTCTGAGTGTGCAGACTTGATCAGAGTTCTGAGCGGGTGAAAGTCGAAGGAAAAGTGGACAGCCCCGGATGACACCCGAGACTGCCTGGTGCTATATGATACTCACTCGTCCTCTGGGTTCATACCATTCATCATCATTGTGACGTGGCGTAGCCTGCCGGACGGTTGCCATGGCGGTTCGAAGGGATTGGTAGATTGACCCTGTAAACTTCTGGATGATGGCACCGGGTCAACTGATCACACTACGCGCAAATGATACTACCTTGCGGTTGAGCAGGTATATCCCAACTGCGACTGGCTAAGCCATAACGCTATGGCTGATGATATAAATCCTGCATGACCCATGATAAGGAATATACCATAATTCCCACAGTTTAGGGTCCTTAAGGTAATGCGGGGTTTATCATCAACAGTATGACCCTAATGATCCACGTAGCTACGTAGCATAAACTTGTCCCAAGAAGCAGGGCAACGGATATAATCCAAGGGTAAAAGGAGGGACCCTTAGTAAGGACCCCTAGGTATATACCCTTCATATAGCTATTATATACCCATTGTATGGCCCATTATAGGGTAGGGGTCCCCATTAGGGGTCCCTCCTATTCCCCTTTGGTATAATTCAAAACACCATGAAGCCCCATAAGCCCCTTTCGAATAGACAGGGGAACAGGGATCCTCAGGACGATAAGACACTCCACGACCTCATCGCAGAATCTGATGGTAGATAGGTAGACAAGTAGGTAGGTCGGTAGGCAGTTGGTAGGTAGTTGGGTAACTAGGTGGGTAGGTAGACTAGTAGATAGGTAGAAAACGAAGAAAGAGAGAGCTAGATGCATTCCCTCATGCTGATTTCTTGACAGAACTTAGCTTCACAAGGCAAGAAGCTAAACCCTAAACCCCGAACTTAGCTTCACAAAGCACGAAGAGCTCCACGGCCCAGTCGGGCCTCAGGATCAAGCCTACGATCTCAGACTTTGCGATGGGCCCGCGTAACCTGCTGCTTCGTGGCATCGAATCCGGCTCTGGTGGGATCTGGTGGGGTGCCTAAGGTTGAGGTTTGAGAGCTTACGGGTTGAAGTGCCTTACCCGTGCTTAGTAGGGAATGGAAGAATGGTAGTAATGGTAGTTATACTTGTACCCCATTCTCCCATTCCCTACTAACCAAAGGTAAGATGTTTAGGAGCATTAGCAGTCTTTGCTTGCGACTCTCTGTTACAACACGTCGCCACACCGCTTACGACGTGTTCAAGGCTTCATTACAGGTCGCCTGTCCTTCGGTGCACGATGTATGTCACTGCCTGCAAAGATGAATGAAGGGGTTACCTACTTGTCGGGTATCATGGGGCACTAAAGGTTAAGCTTTCTGGTTATATAGGGATTCTATAGGGACTATACTACCCAAAAAACGTTAAAGGTTGCCTTCTCTACGACTAGGGTTAGATTGGTGCAAGATATGTAAGATACACGAAATCCAAACCCTCAGCGCCTGCAACCTCAGACTCCGAATCCGAAATCCTAAGCTCCAGGCATCCCCCACGCCCTAAACCCTCAACCCCTACCTGGACCCCAAATAACCTACTTTTTTTCGGGTTCCCTAGTTTGATTTATTTATACAAGTCCTTGTAAAGGTAGGCTACTCCCTACATCCTAAACCCTTATATAACCCCTACAGCCCAAACTCTGAAAGCCGGAACCCTTAACCTTGAACCCTGGGCCCTCGGCTCCGTAGACTACCCGAACACCTCGGCCTTAAACCTCATCCAGATATCGTACGCTTTTCGGTGTGTGTAAGTATCCTTCACAGAGGTACTTGGGACCCCTTCATGAAAATATACCGTCAGGGCGCGAGGTACCGTAGGTTTCTGAGTGAGGTCTTGGGGCTCAGGGTTTAGGGATCGAGTCCACAAGGCAGGATCTCTAGACATTGAAAGTACTTGGAGGATCATGGGGCTTAGTAAATAAGGTTATAGGTACTTTTAATGGGGGTTATAAGTAAATATAAGTACAGTTACTTTGTTTATAACCCCAGTTACTAAGTCCCATCATCCTTTAAGTACAATACCAAACACGAGTCTACCGAGGAAGCAGGATCAAGCAGCTTATTCCCTGCTTCAAGGCCTACCATAACGAGGAGCCCTCAAAAGGTAGGTCTTTTCGGCTACAGGTAAGCCCAAACACCTAATGTAGGAGCCTGCAAAAACAGACCTTGTGGGCCTTTATTAGGATTCCTTGCATGCATCTTACTATTTGGGGGTTACAGGCCCAGGGTTTCTTAATCAGGTTCCTACATTAGACCCTATTCGGCCCCAAGCCTAGACCTTTAACCCAGCGGAGAAAAGCCTCATTAGGCCAACAAAGACCTCCTCAATGCTTAGGCTGTTGCTCCTCGGCGGGTTGAGAGTGCGTGGGGGGCCCGAAATTCAGGGGGGACGCTTTGGGGTTATCTTTTTTAGGCTTTGGGTTTAGAGCTTGGGGCTCCATGGTCCAAGGATTTTCAAGGGGTCCAAAGGACCCAATAGGGTTTAGGGTTCTTTTAAAGGGGTCTATAAGGGGCTATATACTATAATGGCTACTATAAGGATTCTATGATATAGGGGCCTACTAATTAGGTACTTAGGTTTCGGATAGTAGTTATGGAGGTTACTCTTCGGGAGAGTATATGATTATTGGGCACTTGGACCCTCGGGGGATGTTCACAGTTTCAGGTCTGGGTTTAGGCATCTTGGGTTGGAGTCTGTTCCTTGGGGACGAACTGAACCCTAAACGGGTTTCAGGTTCATATACCATATAGGGACTCTTAGTATAAGGGTATAGGGCCCCTACTTATGACAGTCATCTGGTCCCCAAGGTTTGCAAAAAGTGCTGATGCTGCAGGTTCCGAGAGCTTCGCGGCGCCTCCGACGAATAAGAGCGTGATTTCTCCAGCTGTGGAGATGGCGCTTCAGGGGTTTAGGGTTTATAGGGTTTAGGGGTTTAGGGTTTGATAGCATTTAGAGTTATAGTTATAGAGTTTAGGGTTCAGGTTTTACAGAGGGAGTCTTGCGGAGATATGACATATCAGAACCTCATAGCATCTCATACTCAACATGCCTCATAGTTAGAGTTGCAGCGGTTGGGGAACAGGAGCGAACCCACAAGTCATTCTGCGTGATTCTGTGGTCAGTGGTCTGGGTTTTTGACATGTTGAACTATACCCCCCTTAAACCAATAATAAAATTACTATCTCAAATATTCTCTTGGGTTTTACATGAACAAAAATACAAAAGTAATTCCTAAGGAGACAATAGTGACGGGTTGTGGAGGGGCTTGAGTAATCGGCAACAGTAGTCTTCCTTGGGGAGCAGCAAGATATGGTTGACGTAAAGAGCTTCCCGGAACCCTGGGCCCCGGTGCTGGGCTGCTTGAGCCCCTTGCCGACCAGTTGCCCGATGGGGCACAAGAGCATGCCACTCGCACTAAAGCAGAGAGCAATGGTGCAGTCTGACAGGGTCTACAGTTTAGTTTATGGTTGTTTACGGGTCGTTGTTCAGCCTGCTATCATAGACGCGGACACTGTGCAAACTTCTGTGAGAAGCTGCACGAGGCCTCGAACCCTCATGCACCAAGCGATCACCGACCAAATATGGCATCCGCCCTGGAAACGAACATGTGCGATGCAGAGGAATACGAGCGACAGAAGTCAGTTAAGTACTGCACAAAAGGCACATGATCGGCTAGTCTTACTGCGTTCGGGCCCTCCTGCCGGAAATACCGCAAACCTGCTGGGCCAAAACATCCAAGGCTCATGTCCGCGTCGAGAACTTCGTAAATTCCTGCCAGCAGCTTTACACAATCCGAATGCCCTTGCGCCGTGTAGTCAAAGAAGACAGGCACACTGCGACATCCGATTGTTAAGCCCTCTGCGGTACCCTGAACCCTACAAGCCCTGAATTCTAAGCCCCGTATTCCAAGTCGACAGATTGTTAATAAGTTAAGACCTCGATGGTACCCTAAACCCTAGAACCCGATAAACCCTAAACGCCGCATCCCAAGTCGACAGATTGGACTGCATCGGACCAAGATAGTGCCAGCAGGGCTTTACAGGGGCAGGAAGCATTGAGGGTTTAGGGTTTAGGGGTTCCAGGTTTAGGTTTAGAGTTTAGAGGTTGAAGGTTTAGGGAAGTTTCGTATGCAGGGCAGAAGTGGCCGAGCCGGAGTGAGAAGACCGACAATGCTCAGATCCAACGATGCCCTGATCCTCGCAGTACTCGGAGGATCATAGGACTTGGTACTGAAAGGATCATGGGACTTAGTAAGTAGGTTATAATTGGGGTTATACGTCCCCTAAGGGATCATAGGACTTAAAGTAGAAGACCAAAAGTTGGAAACCCAATAGCCTCAATCCTTAAGAGTAATGTATAAGGAATCCCAGCACTATAGGGCCTTAATCGTGTTTCCAACTTTATGGGGTTTACTGTAGTAAGTAAGGATGAAAGTGCCTTAACTGGAGTCACAAAACAATTGTAAGTACAGCTACCCCAGTAACAACACACTTACTAAGTCCAATGATATTTTAAGCAGCCATAAACACTGACACCATGATTGCCCTGAATCCTCGGCAGCATTACTAAATTACAGTGGGATACAGCGCAGCTTAAGGGTCTAAGCACTTGCTGAGTTCGCTGGCCCACGCCAGGTTAACGACGGATACCTGCTCAGCTACTAGCTCTTGGATATTGAAGGTTTAGCTTAAGGTCTACGGTTTAGGGGGACGGCCGTCAAGAGAGCTGGATAAAGAATGTCAAGCTGAATGCCTAATTACCCGAAAACCTCCACTCCAAAACAAACTGTACTAAACTGGCCTGACTGATTCGCAGTCTCAATGTCCGCATCCTTCAAAACACGCAAGAACTCCGGATCCTGACGGAAATTGAGGGTTAAGGGTGTAGGGGCAGGGTTAACAGATAGCGTTTACAGACAGTGTTTAGGGATGTTGAGGGTGTAGGGTTTAGAGCTGAGGTAGCTAAATCTAAGGCATGTGTGTGTGAGAAAGGGTTCTATGATAAGGACTTCTCTAGGACCCTTTAGAAGGGAGTTTGCAAGACACAGCCCTTACAGTACCGTAAACCCCGAAAAGGTTACCTAAGCGGTAGTTGGGCTTTTCGGCCCTTACACATGCTAAAACCCTAAACCTAAACTTTCGAACCCCCAGGCGCTATAGAGCCCTAAACCCTACATATTCCTACACAATCACGTCTTTGAACTTTAAACCCCCAAGGCCCTATAGAGCCCTAAACCCTACATATTCCTACACACTCTCTGCGTGCGAGTGCGCTCGACCGAGTTCTCCCATCAAGCAAAAAATCCTACATACCCAAAAGAAAGCCCTCAATCCTACCTGCAGACTCATACCCTATCCCCTCTGTTTAGGATAATTACCTAGTTTTCTGGCTAGGATCTGCTGTAATAGAGAAGTAGATGACGTAGGAACCTGATTAAGAAGCCCTGGGCCTATAACCCCAACATAGTAGGATTCATATAAGGAACCCTAATAAAGGCCCAAGGTTTCTTACATTACCCATGAGCCTACAGGTAGCCAACATGCGAAAGACCTAAAGTCTCCCGTTTGAAGGCCTTGGGTGGGCTTTGGTTTAGGGTTTAGGGTTTTAGGGTTTAGGGTTTTAGGGTTTAGGGTTTAGGGTTTTAGGGTTTTAGGGTTTAGGGTTTTAGGGTTTAGGGTTTAGGGTTTTAGGGTTTTAGGGTTTAGGGTTTAGGGTTTGGGAGGGTTTAGGTCTTTGGGCCCAGTAACCTGGGAATAGACAGGGCTCCCTTATTGGGTAACTGTATAAGGAACCTAGGACTACAAAAAGGTAATAAGGATCCTACTGGGCATCCTAGTTAAGCATTTACGGTGGGTTTAGTGTTTAGGTATAGGGTTCAGGACTTGACAGGGTTAAAGGAGCAAGGAAAGGGCTGAGATTTGTGCCTGCCTAATATAGGGGCCTTCATAATTGGAATAGGGTTCGGGGCCCGATATACTATGGTTATAATAAGGAACCCCCCAAATAATATTGGTAATCGTTAATGAACTTTAATGCCCCTATATTACAGTTTCTGTTGGGAGATTTTCTTGGGGTTGAGGTGATCCCGGCAAGGATTGCACAGCTACTCAGATGCAACCCAAGGGGCTGTGCTACACACACCTGCTTCAAATACACAGCCGAACGCAAGCTTGCAGGTAAAGCCTAAACCCCAACCCCGAACCAGGACTGCCCCAATAAACGGCTCCAGTTGGAGTTCACCGTGATGGTTCGCCTGTTGACTGAAAGCGCCAGTTCATGTAAGAGTTTAAAGGGAACTCCAGAAAGTTGGAAGATGGTTTCAGGGTAGGATACCTTATAATTTACCATACAGGGTTTAGGATAATCATATTCCAACTTTCTGGCATTTACCTTAGGATGTATTACGTAGGGTTTCAGGGTTTGGGGTTCACGTTTTCGGGCATTGCCTTCGACCCGGCTTACCACAATTTCAATCCCGTGTCCGTCAGCCAGGAGAGGAACGCAGCTTTGGTGATCACAACCTGACCGCGCAAGGTGCAGGTGAGCTTCGCAATAAAGAAGGAAGATTCAGAAACCGGGGCCGCATGTAAACCGCAACTAGTAGGATGCTGAATATAGTTAGGAGAAGGAACCCCAAAAAATCTCGCCAATCTTGCTAAGCTCTCAACACGAAGTGCTGTCAAATTTCTTTACAACAATTGGAAGACCTCTATCAGCGCATGCGGTTATAGTTTGGCCTGGGGCGCCCTGAAACACTTCACGTCTGGGTTGCAACCGGGGTTTAGGCTACAGAGGGTTTATTTCCGCTTGCTAGGAATGACGTTTATGGAAGCGCATTGGCCTGTCGGCCCCTATCAAACCTTGAAACTCTGGACTTTGGCGGCCCAAACTTAAAACTCTGGCCACCCATCAAAAAACTTTTGCAATTTAAAAGATAGAACCCTTTTAGTGTGTTTGGGTCCCCTTCCCACCTTGGCCCCGATGAGCGCTTCGAACTTCGCTCGCGTGCGTGCGACGTTGCTGCCTTGATTGGTGCGTGTGAGGGCTGAGGTTGAGCAGATCGAGATTTACCTAAGCCCCGAAAATTTAACCCTAAACCCTAAGCCTTAAACCTTGAACCGCTGCTATTCTACAAACTTCTGGGGTGCAGTTCCAGATCGGGTTTGGTTTTGGTAAATGTCGGTTCCAGGTCCCTACCACCATCTTTCCGGAAGGTCCACCCAAGCAAAGCAACAGCGATGGTCCTTTTCAGTTTAGGGTTTAGGGCCATTTAGGGATTAATTTCAGGCTTTGAGGGCCTGGATCCACAGTGGTGGTACTATACGGATCCTGCTAGTGACGTAAGCTGACAAGCTCTCCCAAACCCTGAACCCGAAACCCGAAATCCACCCAAGCCCAAGCTCATAACTTTGGGGATGGGCTTCTGGTCTCACGCCCCAGGGCTGGGAGTCAACCCTTGCTCTGTTTTGGGACTCTATCCCCGGTCATTGTGTCACTGTATCCTGGCGGCGGCGGCATCCAGATGCTAGCGTTCTGCAAGAGGTTCGAGTTCAAAACGGAGAACGATTTTCTCGTCTTTCCACGAGTGAGGCTCCGTGCGCTCCATGTTTGTGAATTTTGTTTGCTCAGTGCTGCTGTTTTCCCTATGCTTGCTCCGTGATCGATTCTGTGTCTTGTTTGAAGACAATCGTAGCTGTTGAGAGAAACATCAAGGATCCAAAAGGCTGCTCCGTCTGAAAATTCTCTGCAATCGTCACTGTTTCAAGACTGCTAGAAGCCCAAACATCTCAACTTCGGCCCGTAACATGTCACTTGTAGCTGAAAGACGCCACGGACAAAACCCTGAACAGTTAAGGGACTTTTCGCTACCACAACAATTCTAGCGCCCAAACCCATCACTTAGAAGGGCCCTTGCAAGGGTTTAGGGTTCAGGGATTAGGGTTTAGGGTTTGAGGGTTTTAGGGTTTAGGTTCAACTTCAAGCCGTGAAGACCGAACCAGAGCCCAAAACCTGACACCTAGAATCAAACCCCCAAGCCCAACAACCCACGTCATTAATCCCGTGAGTCTCGCAACTTCCAATCTTCGGGTCCTCGCGTACTGTTCACCCCTGAGCAATAACCCCCTCCTATGCACAGGGATTAGCCATACGAGCACCTTCGTGAGGGCCGTTAAACAGCGGGGGTCGATTGATCTTTGCTCCACAACATGTATATGGACGACGATGGGATATGAGTTCCGGATATTCACACCTCCATGCTACTGTAAGGTTCGAGCTGCTTCTCTGGTAAAGACAAGTGGCTGAAGTGGCCGTCAAGGGCTTTGATCTCGCGTTCTATCTCCTGACACTGTGCAGGCATGTCGGAAAGTTCATCAATAATATATAAGCATGCACACGGACGTGTTTACTGCATCCCACACGCCCCTCGCCATGGCCTTTTGCTTCAATCCTAAGGCTTAGACCCTAAACCCTAGAAGGTAGAGAACATAGGGCCTTCGGGCGTCTTCCACAGGGCCTTTGACGAAAAACACAAGGAACCATCCTAGATCCGAATAAACTCACACCATGGTACTGTACGGGCCTAAATAATAGCCAGTACTATTTGGAGTGTTCCCTCTTCTACTTATAATGGTATATTATACCCCGAAACCATATTCTGCCTATAAGGCACCACAACCCTAAACCCTAAACCCTACACCGCAAACCCTAAACCCCGTAAACTTCGCATGGAACACCGACAGAGCTGATGGCAAAAAAAACGCCTGCCGGCCCTGCCTCGGGAATGCCAAAGGTCTTGCTCAGGAGCGTTAGCCGAAGCAGTTGCTCCTGCGATTCAAACCCCAAATCCAAAACCCAAAACCCGAAACCCCAAACCTTATAAACCCCAAACCGTAAACCCTAAACCCCTAAACCCTCTAAACCCTAAACCCACGCTTTGGGGCTCCAGGCCTCTGGAGTTCGGTGTTTGGTTTACGGTTAACACCCATAGGCCCCATAGTAGTTCCTTTTTTGGGGGCTCATGTTTAGAATCCTATAAGGTAATTTAATGCCAACAAGGAACTACCATGTGGCCTATGGGCATTTTAGGGTTTAGGGGTTTGGCAAAACCAGAAATCCCAAATTCCTCAACCCTAAACCCGTGGATTCAGGCTTTGGCGCTCCGGGTCTGGGCTTCGAGGTCAACGGGGAAAAGGAGGGACCCTTAACGGGGACCCCTACCCTATAATGGGATATAATGGGTATATAATGGCTATATTATGGGTACATACCTAGGGGTCCTGATTTGGTGTCCAACCTTTTACCCTTTGAGTAGGGGTTTTGGGGTTTAGGGGTTGTAAGGGTTAGGGGGTTATTAGGGTTGTTTTAAGTGCAGCATAGGATTTAGGGTTTAAGGTCTAGGCGAAGAGTACTACTGCTTCGTGCACTGTGCCATGACAGGGATAGTCCCTCTGCTTCAACTGCAAAGATGTAGCCCTCAGGTGCCGAAAAGTGCAGGGTCGTAGTTGCCACCTAATCGACATGAGGGGTTTCGGGTTTCGAGGTTTAGGGTCTAGTTACTCGGAGGATCATGGGACTTAGTAAGTAAGGTTATAAGTAGGATTATAGTTGGGGGAACTCCACTTAAGGTACTTAAAACTCTACTTATAACCTACTTACTATGTCCCCTGCCCCTCCAAGTAGGGGATTCGGGGTTCAGGGTTGCGGGCTTTGGGGGTGTAGGGGTTAACACAGTTGTGCTTGGAGGCCCTTTTGACTTAGTAAGTCTACTTAGTATCCCCCAGAAACCCTATTAGAAACCCCATAACCCACCTTACTAACCCTACTTACTAAGTCAAAAGGGCCTCCAAGTGAGGAGCAAGCAGCAAGTGGATTTAAGACTTTCCCTGTGCCACTGAACCCAAACCATTGAGCCGTTTGACAATGCCACACCTGCCTTACCAGGCATGCTACAAGCGCGAAGCTTGCACACGGAACTAACCCTGAACAACCAATACCAAGAAATCTGCAACTCCGAACAAGCGCACTGTCATGCCTATTAACCCCTATAGATTCCTTACAGATCCCCTTTTCAGCAGCCCTTACCAGAGCTCTCTAAGTTTACTGAGGCCCATGATCCGTTAAAGTTAAAGGGCTCAGAGCTTGATTTCGATTTCGACCCCCAAGTTAAACGCTGGACCGAAACCGTTAAGAGGATCTAGGGTTTAGGGGTTTAGGGTTTAATGGTACTTAGCAATTAGGGTTCAGGGGTTTGGGGTTTCCGGTTTGGGCGGGGTTCTTAGCTATGCTTACAAATGACAGCTTTTAAGACCACTTCAGGTACTTGTAATCTTACGTACTGAGTCCGATGAACCTCTCTGACGCCTTCAAAGGAGTGCTGAAAGGAAGTATACAAACCCCATGTTTTTGACGCCACATCAGCAACTTAAACATCCCCAAACCGTAAACCTGCAATGCGTGAACCCGAAAACAGAGCCCTTGCAGTACCTTCATAAGGGTGGTTGTCAGAATTAGGGTCCCTTTTATGGGTCCCGAATATAGTACGGCACCTAATATTTAGGGTACTCAAAAACGGACCACGATTGTGACAACCACCCATAAGAGCTGCCAGAGCAACCCTGAACCTTCAACGACATCGCAGATCCTACTTGGAGGGGCAGGGGACTTAGTAAGTAGGTCATAAGTAGAGCTATAAGTACCCGAAATGGAGTTACCCCAATTATAACCCTACGAAAAAACGACTTACTAAGTCCCCTGCCCCTCCAAGTAGTATCAAACATCTCTCGGGCGGCCAAAACGACTACCTTAGCCTACCAAACCCCACTCTTATTGTAGGTCATTATTATGGACTCAAATATGGAGTTAATCGGGACCCTACTTTTTTTGTAGGTTGTTGTTTTGAACTCTAATATGGAGTTTATAGGGACCCTACTTTTTTGTAGGTTTTGGTAGATTAAGGAAAACGCCATAACCATTTCCCCTGGCCTTGATATCCACAAAATAGGGGACCCGAAATAGTACCCTAAATCGTAGGATCCTTATTTTAGGGACCCCAAAATAAGGTACCCCTAATTTCGGAAACTCCCATTTCCCTGGCCTTGATATCCATACTGCTGATGATATAAATCCTGCATTACTTTAAAGGCCCTCAACTATGGGAATTATGGTATATTCCTTATTATGGGTAATGCAGGATTTATATCATCAACCGTATCTATTTGCCTGGCCTTGATATCCACCTCCACGTTGGCCGCGGTGTTCGAAATCTCCTGAAGCTTCCGCTGCATTTGGTTGGCCATGACCTCGGCAACGGAACCAGGGCTATGGGGTTTAGGGTTTAGGGTTTTAGGGTTTAGGGGTTAGGGTTCTAGGGTGTAGGGTTCTAGGGTTTAGGGTTTAGGGTTGTTGTTTAGGGTTTAGGGTTCTAGGGGTTGGGTTAAGCATTCGGGACTTTGGTTCAAGCGACGAGGGTTCGATATAGGGGCCTTAGTACGTAATGGGAAGACGGTGTTGGGGTATGTTCTAGTATACTTGTCATGAGGAGCCGCAAAATAGTATGATAATTATTTAGGCCCCGCTGTTAGGGTCTTGAACTTGGCAAGAAGCCGGGGTCTGCTCGGGCTTTTGTGGGTTTGGGGGTTTGATGGGAGGCCAAAAGGGGGGTTTAAGATTCTTGGGGTAGGGATTCCTTAATATGAACCCTATTATGGGAACCCCAATCCCTACTAAAGCCCCATAGGCTAAAACCCCTTCTGGCCTCCTATGAGGGTTTAACACCCTAAACTCTAAACCCCTAAACCCCTAAACCCTAAACCCTAAACCTAACAAGGGCTTGCGTAGGATGTCCGGCTTCCGGGCCCTAAGGGTCGTGGGTCGGGCGTCTGGTAGGACTTATGCTCCGGCTGCTTGCCCGGGCTCTTACACTTATTAGTATGCTAGGATACCCAGTAACCTAAGAATAAAAAGGCCTCTCTTTTTGGTATTGGGTAACTTTATAAGGAACCCAGCAAAAAGGGAATAAGGGTACTACTGGGCATCCTAGTATGTGCTTTTTCGTCTTATTGTTACTATATCCCTAAACCCCTGAACCCTGACCCTGCACCCTATGTAGTAGGGATCCGCTTTTGGTGCAGGAAGCTTAAGAATTAGACTATGGTTTGGGTGGCATAAAATACTACATACTTTCTCGTGGGCTCCTAAGGAATAATGCTCTTGTGAGGTGGTCTTCGGGCTTGGGGCAGTTGGGAACTGTCAAAGGACCTGGGTAACAGTCTCGAACACACAAGTGTGTTCATTGATCAGCTCTAAGATGGAGCCAGCAAACCAACAACTGACACAATATACGGGCCTGAAGATCTAGAGTCTCATAATTCAGTCATAACAGGGTATATCTAGGGAACTCTGGGGAACAACATTGGCAACTACCCAGCTTCGATGTTCTCGACTGGCCTAAACCTTTGTAAAGCTCGCCAACCATATCTGGAAACCTGAAAGCTGGCGACGACAACCCGGGAGATGAGGGTTTCGGGTGTTCGCAAGTCGAGGGTTCATTCGTTTCTGCGAAAGAGGTTGGAGTCACCACCACAAAACATCTGTATGCAACCTTCGCAGCAATCGTAACAAGGAGCGGAAGGTTTGCATCACCCTCCGGTAGTCAACGACCATCCGGGGTTTCCGGTTTGTGCCGGAGTAGACGCGGAACGCAGGGGATCCCCAGTTGCTCTATCCGCTGATATAGTGCCCACGGCGGTAGGCCTCGCAATCTCTGCTTCAAGCCATTCTGCATGTTCGCCGCCGCGGATGAGCGGGGCTTGCGAGACAGGCTCCCCCTTGGTCACCATGTTGTGAAGAAATCCATATAGGGTGTACGAATGACACTGACATCCCGTATGATAGTACAAGAACAGGGCGTCCCGGCCTAAGCAGGTCTTAAACGCCCCCCAAAGATCTCAATTGTGAGATGAGAAGCTACAAATCCCAAAGATTGAGCCTGCAAGAACGGCCGAAAGAGGGTTGGCCAGGGCTTCAAGTTTACAGTAGAAGCCAGAAAGTTGGAATATGATTATCCTAACCCCTTTAAGGTAAATTATATCCGATCCTACAATAATCCATATTCCAACTTTCTGGAATTCCCTTTATTGTCAGGCTAGCAGCACCTGGTTGCGTACTTTGAGGTTTACCAACCAAGACTCTCCGAGGCAATGTTGATATGTGAGGTGCTTGGCCGGTTGAACTGGTTAGTATGAGGAATATAGTAGTCCTTCAAAATTGGGGGACAGACTTACTACGTAATTGGGGGACAGACCAACTGCGTATCTTAGCATGCAAAAACATACATCTTTTAGTCGGGCCTTAGAAATTCTGAGTTAGGCTTCCTGACTTCAGGTTTCGATCAGAATCCTAAAACGGTAAGTCCATCAAGGGGAGGAGAGGGGGTACTCACAAGGATTCCTGATTGGGTTTGGGGTTTGGGGCTTGTGGTTGTAGCGATTATGACTTCTTGGTTGAGGGACGTTTGGCTTTCGGGAGGACTTCAACAACCCCAAACCCCCAAAACTTCTCGTGAGCCGGACGTTGTCGATGAAGATCGCCATGATCAGGTTGAACCTTCGCAACTTCGGTTACTTCGAGGGTCATGGAACTTAGTAAGGCTAAGTAAGGCTATGAATACCTTGATATAACTGGCGTCATGAGTAGTAGTTAGAAATTTAGATACCCTAACAATAGCCCTTGCTACAAGTAGGGCTTGGGATGGTGTAGCGCTCAAAGGGTCTGGGGTTCCGGCGTTTATAGGGCTTCGGGCTTCAAGTTGCCCTAAACCCTAGACCCTAAACCCTAAACTTTAGACCCTAAACCCTAAACCCTAACCCCTAAACCCTAAACCCTAAACCGTTGAACGGGGGGTGCGCTTCAGGGTTCCAGATTTGACGATGGTTTATGGCAGTTCTGCATAAAGGGAACTCCAGAAAGTTGGAATATGGATTAATGGTAGGATCCCCGATAATTTACCTTAAAGGGGTTACGATAATGATATTCCAACTTTCTGGCTTCTACTGTAATCGTAAGGTCCCCCAGCCCTCTTGGTGGTTTTAAGGCTTGGTGGTGCAGGAGCTGTGTCGGAATATCACGCAGGGTCCTTGACCATTACAACTTTGATCGTGACTTTACATTGCCTGTCACTCCAACACGGTCACCAAGACCTGATAACTTACACTAAGGGTCCCTGTATCCAAAGAGTATGTAGTTCGGCTCTAAAAACCTATATGTGGACTACTTCTGAAAGCCCAAGTATACACCGTTTGTGTACATGGACCCTCAGCCTAGGCCCCAAACCCCTAAACTAACTCTACACAGGCTTACTTAACAGACTTAACCCTGAAGCAAGGCGGGTTACAAGTACCTTGGTTTGGCTTACCAGTGAGTTCTAAACTTACATCGTCACCTCTTTCATGATACCATACAAGTCCCATGAGCCCCCAAGTATACACAACATGGCTTCAGAGCCGTAAACCCTAAACCCTGAACATGGCTTCAGAGTCCGGAAGGTTGCGGCTTCAGGGTTGTTGTACCCACTCCCTCTTCCAAAGCCAAATACACTCGACACGGTTTAGGGTTTATGGTATAACCAAAGAAGACCACCAGTGTTGCGCATTTTGTTTCACAATTCTAGGGCCGCGGAAACCGTAAATACCCCTGAACCCTATCCCATACATGAGGGTGGGAAATGCACAGTAGACCCAACCTCAGCATTGAACCTGTAGACGGTGCTTTCTAAAACAAATTTTTTAGGACGGAGAGTTCTGCTGTATATAGGGCCAATATAGGAGGCCCCAATTAAGAGGTGGTTGTTTTGGCGGATAGAATAGTCGAATTTTGTTCCGGAAGCCAAGGAATCAAGTTGGCAATTGATTAGTCATGCCCCTGAATGGTCCGAAACCAGCTAGGCAACCCGCAACGGCCCCTTTGCCCTAACGATCGTAAGCGCTCGACAGGCCCAACGTCACGCCGACGTACATGAACACCTGGTGGCTAGGAACCCTAGTTGCTGAATTCCCTGGACTGCTGGGACTGTATGGATAATATTCTAGGGGCCTAAATAATTACCAATACTATGTTGGGTGATCCTTATTATAGTTCTAGTATATTGGGCCGCAGAACCCTACCATTTTGGGTGATCCTGATTATAGTTCTAGTATATTGCGCCGCAAAATCCTGTTCTAACTATTGTAGGTGTTGAGGCCCCTATATTAACTTGTCACCCTGTTGTCGAATCCCAGCAAGTCGGGGTCTTCGGCAGCCTTGCACCGATGCATGTGCTGGGTTTATTTTATTTTTGTGGTTTAAGGGCCTCTTTTCGATCTGCAGATTGCGTCTCAAAAGCCCATTGGGTTTAAGTTTTAGGGTTCAGGGCTTGGGGCTGAGGTTTTACATGGTTTCACCAAGGATTTCCTAAAAAAACCTTAAGGGATAGGTTTTCCCACGAAGGTAGTGGAATGTCGGACCCTTGTTGCTCTCAGCAACAAAGAGGAGGCTCCCTTCAACCACCAGCCCGCCCTGCTCAGATCTAGGATGCCCAAAAACCTAGGAATGAAAAGGGCTCCCTTTTTCGGTATTGGGTACCTTTATAAGGAACCTAGGACTACAAAAAGGGAATAAGGGTACTACTGGGCATCCTGGTTGTAGGGTTTACGGATCTAGGGCTTAGGGCGAGTTCAGCGCTCTTGTCTCAAACAATTTCTGCTGAGGGCTTAAGTGAGAAGCGAGAAAACGACATGGCGCAATCGAGGGACAAAAAGACTGCCACGTGATAATTATAAGCCGGCAGATCCCAAGAAATAGTCCGAAACCCACAGCCTAGACCCAAGAGTAACCTAGGAATAAAAAGGGTGCCCTTTTTTGAGTTAAAGGGGGCTATAAGAGAACCTAAACCTTAGAAAAGTGCATAAGGGCCTACTCTGGGTCCTAGCAGCCCTTCCGGACAACGCCAAGGCCCAGGCATACGGAATCACCCATATCAGGCCTTGGCTGCAGTGTCAGAAGTCTTTTTCAACTGTTATGGGGAAGACTTCCCCAAATCATAATACTATTTCCTAATATAGAAACCCTACATTCTACTATATCGGTACTTTGGACCCTTTGGGAGTGTCAGAAGTCTTTTTCAAAGGCATTCGGGTTTATCGGGTTCAGGGGATCAGCGTTTCGGGTTTGAGAATCATGATTTATGATTTTGGGCTTTGGGCTGTAGGGCTTGTAGGGTGTAGCTTCAGCTGCGCCTGTTATGGAAGTCTCAGACTTTGGATGCGATTCAACTTTTTTAACCTGAGGGTCAGGTAGAGGCCAAGGCTTACTTGAAGCCCTGCTATAGCGGCCTAAGTAATACTATTTGGGGGTTCCTTACCATATAAATATAGTTTAGTATTATGGGCCACAATTAAGGCCCCTACAAAAAGCGCCGAACCCTTCAGCTCAGCTGCACCCTGGCCCTGGACATTCGGCTGGCCAGGCTTTCACGGCCACAGCAGCCATCGACAGACCAGAAATAGAGGCTGTGCAGTAGAACCCAGAACTGAAGGTTGGCCCCACACCCAGCAAGCCCAAACCCTAATATAGGTGCCCTAATAGTTAGAATAGGGTTTGGGGGCTCAATATACTATAACTATAATGAAGAAGGAACCCCCCAAAATAGTATAGGTATTTATTTAGGTCCCTACACTAAATCCTTATAATAGCCCTTTTTGTAGCCCTATTTGACCCCTTTAGAGGAATATTGTGGATCCCTTATAGTAGCCCTTGTGCTAGACCCTCACACCCCCCCCCCCACATAAGCCATCCTTGTGGGCTGGTTGGTTGGTTGATTTTTGAGAACCGTCGTGTCTTATATCAAAGAGGAAAAGAGGGACCCTTAATAAGGAACCCTAGGGTTTAGGGTTTAGGGTTGAGGGACCCTTACTAAGGACACCTAGGTATATAGCCTTAGTATAGCCTTAGTATAGCCATTATATACTCATTATATAGCCCATTATAGGCTAGGGGTCCCCCTTAAGGGTCCCTCCTTGTCCCCTTTGCTTATAACTGTCTGGTTCTTAGTAGGGAATGGGGGGATGGATTATAGAGACTATTATTGGGGATTATATAGGGACTACCATGGGGATCCATTCCCCCATTCCCCACTAAGCACCAGACAGATAACTTCTGACACTAGGTTGAGGGCCTGAATGAATTTGCGGCTGCAGTCTCAGCCCCCCTTCGAACAACACCTAGAAAAGTAAACGTACACCGAACACGTGCAAGGAAAGATTCCCGGCATAATTCAAACATATATACTTATGTTTATATGTGTGTATATATATATATAATGACCTTAGCTAGGCCCTACATCGGCACTTTCAGGACAAGGCTTGTTACATGGACACTGAAGGATTTCCTCGCAACACCAACCTGGCAACAGACTTCACAGTCGTGCGTGACTTCAAGCGCTGATCAAACCCCCCTATACTACAGACTTTATGAAGCCCCTGAAATGCAGCTCAGCCGCCCCACTCCTGGGCAAGGAGCTCATTTAATGGACGGCCATCTCGGGCCACGCAGCCGTCCGTAAAGCAACGGAACAGCGTAAACCTGAGCTGCCAGGATGGTTTAGGGTTTAGGTCGGGGGTAAGGGCTGGCTAGGATTTCAAAGTGCTGCAAGAAAGCTCCCTGGCGGAAATATGCCCCTTACCTGAACCTACATATTGAACCCTGATCTCGTGGACTACAAATCAGGGTCTGACTGAACCCAGAAGAAAAGACCTTGACCAACGAACGCAAAGTGTAGGTCATCTGATTCATGCTCCCAACTACACACCTTCCTACTCGAATAAACGACCCAAAGCCGAAAACCGGATCAAACACAAAAAAACACACACAAAAAAAAAAAACATGGACATCGGCCCAGAAGCATGGAGTTTGCCACAGTGCTCATTTCATCGTCAACCAGTTCGGATAGGCCGAACATGCCTTGGACTGTCGCATTGGGTTTCAGGCTTTCTGGTTGAGACTTCCTAGACCCTCAGCCCTTATCATGCTCGAAAACCCCAAGCCGTTGCCACATTGAATGAAGTTGGAGGGTTCAGGTCTTCGGGTTTACGGCTTAGGGTTCAGGTTTACCTCAACCTGCCATTACCTACACTTTGCATTTTTTGTGTTTGCCGCGGGGGGGTTTACAGATTAGATAGACTTCAAGGTTTACATTTCAATGCAGAAACCCTGCAAAAGCTCAGGTATGGTTCAGAGTCTAAACTCGTTATATGAGACTGTAGTAGGGCCTATTGTCCAAACCGACGGGGGGTGTAATACGGTATTGTGATTATGCACCGGCTCTTGGGGAGCTTAGAGGTGAAGCTTTTCAATAGTCTGTGCTCCGCTCTTGCGTCAATCCTTTGTCCGATACAGTTCAAGTTTCCCCAATTGCTGAGTTCATAAGCCCCCAAAAAGTGTACACTTTCAGTTTTATAGCGGGTAGTATTATCCCAAAAAAAGTAAAGTGTCTCCACTCAGCTACTAAGTTTCTGCTTGCTCTACAGCCGAAGGTGTTTCGATGGACATGGCTAAACATGGATCCCTCTTCGAAGGAAATGAGACTGACTACTCCAATAACCTCGGCAACAAAGCACGTGCACTAAATGCCTTCAACACCCCCTAGACTCTAAGCCCTAAAACCCTACCCTGAAGACCCAAGCCCTAAAACTCTAAACCCTAACTCCGAAAGCCCTAAATCCCAAAGCCCTAAGCCCCCAATTCCCTAAAGCCCTAAGCTCCGTAGCGGAGGCCCGAGGCTGAATGAACACCCCCAGTGACCACTTATGAGCAATACAACAACTAGGATACCCAGTAACCTAAGAATAAAAAGGCCTCTCTTTTTGGTATTGGGCAATTGGGCAACTTTATAAGGAACCTAGGACTACAAAAAGGGAATAAGGGTACTACTGGGCATCCTAGCAACAGAAGGTTTAGAGCCAACTTGGCGGGTCATAGGACATAAGCTTATAAGGACCTTGTTCGACTTGAGGTGATATGAAATTACAAGTATAGCTACCCGAATAATGGAACTTTGACTTGAGGTGATAAGAAATTACAAGTATGGCTACTTTAATCATGGGTTTGGGGTTTTAGGGGTCCCTAAAATGACCACCACCCTTCTCGAAATCAACACAAAGGGCCGCAGGGCTACCCGGGGTTGGGCCATACCCGAACCCTAGACCCCGAACCCCTTGACCCTAAACCCCCAAAACCTAAACCCCCAAACCCCTCAACCCTTGCGTGCATCTCGCCCGGATCGTCCGCAGTGACTGCTTGCATAAACCCTTAAACCCCTAAACCCCCAAACCCCTAAACCCTTAAACCCCTAAACCCTAAACCTCGCACCGAGAGGCTCGTGGTGAAGATGGCTGCCGAGTAGATCATGGAAGCCTGGAGCATTTTTGCTCCAGAGCTACAGGGCTTAGGGCTCGGGATTTTGGGGTTTAGGGTTTAGGGGTTTAGGGGTGAGGGTTTAGGGTTTAGGGGTTGTAGGGTTTAGGGTTGAGCATTTTTGCCCCAGAGTTAGGCTTCAAGGACTCCTAAACGGCTCCTTTAAAGCTTTCTTACAGGGTTCTACTGTTGATGATATCATAAATCCTGCATTACCTGGCTTAGGGGTGACTTGGCTCCAGAACCACACGGCTCAGAGTTCGGGGCTGAGGATCAGGGGTGCCTTTAACCAAAGGGGAAAAGGAGGGACCCTTAATGGTGACCCCTAGCCTATAATAGACGATACAATGGGTATATAATAGCTATATTAAGGGTATATACCTAGGGGTCCTTATCAAGGGTCCCTCCGTTTACCCTTGGATTTAAGGCTTCCAGTAGAGGTTTCCTCTAAGGGTTGCGTTTAGCGCCCAGTGTTTAGAGTTTAAAGCGCCGAGTGCCAAAACGGTAAATCCTAAAACTCGCGACTCTAGCGAAACAACCCAAAGCCTAAACCCATATAATATAAGCCCTAAACCCTAAACCCCATAAGCCCTACCTTAACCCTGAATTTTTAGGGCTCCTTTTTATGATTTCCTTATAGAAGTCCTTAAAAAGGGTAGGTTATTGAGGGTAAAGTAAACCCTGAACCCTATAAGCCCTAAACCCGAACAGCGCCCTAGCAGCTGCAAGCCCGAAACAGAGAGGCTTGGTTACCCTAAGGCCCCAAAGTAGTTTATGGGAGTTTCCGAAAATAGGGGACCCTACTGTAGTACCCTAAACCCTTATTATAAGGACCCCAAAATAAGGTACCCCTAATTTTCGGAAACTCCCATATAGAATTCTATAGGGTAATCCCAAAAAGGAACTACTTTGGGCCTCTGGGTACACCTGGCGGCACCCTAAACCCTAGACCCCTAAACCCGGAATTGGAGTTTCGGAAAATGGGAGGTACCTTATGTGGGTTCCTTATATATAACAAGGATCCTACTACTTAAGGTACTATATTAGGGTCCCCTATTTTCGGAGACTCCCAAATAACCTACCTTGTGAAAGACCTCTATAAGGAAATCATAGTAGGGAGCCCTAAAAATGGAAGGTAATAAGGATCCTACTACTTAGGGTACTATACTAGGGTGTTAGTTTCGGCTTTTGGAGGTTCAGTTTTTGGGGCTTACTTGGAGGATCATGGGACTTAGTAAGGGTTCTTAAAGGGATCCTTTAAAGGGGATCTAGAGGGATCCTTAAAGGGGTCTATGGGGTTTAGGGTTTAGGGTCTACTTTGAGGATCATAGGACTCAGTAAGTAAGGTTACAAGTACCTTAATTGGGGTTATAAGTAATTATAAGTATAGTTACCTTATTTATATCCCCAGCTACTAAGTCCCATGATCCTTTAAGTAGGGTTTAGCGGTTTAGGGCTCTAGGGTTTAGCTTGCTAGGGTTTCGAGCTTTTAGGGTTTAGCTTTTTGGGGTTTAGGGTTTAGGGTCTGTAAGGGCTTGAGGGTTCCACCTACAGCTTTCAGCTTTGAATTGATTTAAGGGATGAAAGGGGGAAGGAACCTTAGGGCAGTGGTGTTTAGGCTCTAGGGTTTAGGCTTGAGCGCTTAGGTTTTCTGCATAGGTTTTAGGTTTTCGGGTTTAAAGGTAACCCTCAAGTATGGACTAAGCATGACTGAGCCGTAAGCACCTAAACCCCTAAATCCTTACTTAAAGGATCATGGGACTTAGTAGCTGGGGTTATAAATAAGGTAACTATACTTACAATTACTTATAACCCCAACTGACGTACTTATCTCCTTACTTGCTAAGTCCTATGATCCTCGAAGTAGACCCTAAACCCTAAACCCCATGGACCCCTTTAAGGATCCCTATAGATCCCTTTAAGGAGCCCTTTAAGAACCCTTACTAAGTCCCATGATCCTCCAAGTACTCCCTAATTTGAGGAAGATTGGAGTTGACAAGACCTGGCGACTCGGCCCACAGATTGACTGATGGTAGTCTATAATACTATAATATAATATCATATACTATAAAATATAATATAATATACTACACTGATTGACTGAGGCATGCACCAACAGGACCATCGCCCAGCCCAAAACCTCGGAAATCGCTTCGGACTCGGGTTCGGTTTAGGGTTTAGGAGTTTAGGATTCAGGGCTTGGAGGGCTTGCAGCTAGGGCTTACAGCTTATATAGGGGTTTGCTTCTTGGGGCTTGGGTTTTCTTTCCTAGACTTAGGCTTTAGGTGGTTAGATACCCTAAATCCTCGCACTCTATGCACCATCACCTACTTTGTTGTAGCCCCTGATGCCGTGACGGCGCCTATGCTTCAGGGTGTAGGGTCTGCAGTCGAGGGGTGCACGACATCGAACCCGACGCACAACACCTTGACCCCAAAACCCTTGAAGCCCCGTAGACACCGACTCGATGCCTAAATCCCTTAGCAAAAACCTTTATAGTGATCCCCAGAAGGGTGGAACATGGGTTTAGGATGATTAGTGCTGGCATCCCCTATACTCCTTTTAAAGGGCATGAGGACATTGATGTTCCAATTTTCTAGATTCTACCGTAAACCCTAAACGGCCCTGAACCCTGAGCGATGGAAGCTGAGCTTTCGACTCTAAACCCCAAACCCCTAAACCCTAAAAACTCTGAAGCCCTACCCTGAAACCCCAAACCCGACACCTTAAACGATGGAAGCTGGGATTCAGGCTCTCATGCCGCTGATGACACCAAGCACCATGAGCTTCAGCTCATCTCGGCGGCTTGGGCTGTGGAGCAGGGTTTCCTTTAAAAGAAAAATTAAGGGCTCTTACAAGGGTTGCATTAAGGGTTCTGTAGGGGGGACTCAAGGGCTCTCCTTAAAGGAATCCATAAGGGCTCTTTATCGGGTTCCTATCGGACCTATCGGTTTTGACGGCTCATGCGTCAGTGTCAAAGCTTTTGTTTGATTGCGCTTGGGGTTGCAGATGTAAGGGCCTACCTGTGGCCCGATAACCTGTTGGTGGCGGTCATACTCCATCATCAAAGGGGTCATAAGCCTACTTGTCGGGTACCATGGGGAACTAAAGGTTAACCTTTTTGGTTATATGTGGATTTTATACGAGCTGTACTACCCAAGGTTAAAAGTTACCTACTCTACTACTAGGTAAGTGATTGTTTTGCATTGGGGAAGGAGGCGACAGCCAGGATGTAGGGAGTTTGGTTCAAGTCGTTTAGGGGTTTAGGGCTTATAGGTTAGGCTTTAGGGTTTAGGGAAGCAGGCCACGAAGTTGTGAACAAGAGGGGCAAAGGTCTTCCGTTGGACGTCTCGCCACGCCTGTTTTCGTCCGAACCTATGGCCAGGGACGAGAGTCTAGCGCTCCAAATGCTTGTTGGGCGTTTCATATCATGACGTGCTTTAGCCTGCTGCTTTCTGTGCAGGCTGGTCCACGGGCCAGACGCCTCTTGGAGGTTTCCATCCAAAGCATGTCCGCGGCTCCTCTGTCCAGACTCCCAATTCAAAAAGGGCGCCTAAATAATTACCAATACTATTTTGGGGTCCTTGGCATACATATGGTAGAATGGGCCTCAATACCTCATTCCAATACTAAGGCCCCTACATATTATTGTCGATCTTGCCCTATCCCTCCAAGGACCTCATAGGTAGGGCCCTAGACCCCTTAAGGACCCGATAATAAGGTCCCTGGAGGCATAGGGTTGTTTGGGATCCACGGGAGATTCCCATTTCACGGTTTCGGTGCGCAGCCAGGACAGGACTGGTGAGCCAACTCCCAGAGGGTGACTTAATAATGTAGGAACCCGAAACCTTGAGCCTTTGTTAGGGTTCCATAAGGCTCCCTTTCTAAGGTACTATTTGGGTGCTAATAGGGTTTGGTGGGTTTTGATGTAGGAACCTGATTAAGAAACCTTCGGCCTTTGAAGGGGTTCTGTATATGAATCCTACCATTTTGGGGTCATAGGCCCAGGGTTTCCTAATCAGGTTCCGACATTAGTGGCGCTTCCCTCTCTGCCACCTAGGCCTGGGTGTAGTGTGACTTGTACCCCAGGAGCAATGGCCAGCGCAAGCTCAGGACAGCGCTGCAGGAAGACGTACAACAAATCCCCTGGCAGCAAGGTTTTCAGCGCCTCGCCTATGCTGCTGCGCACTGCCATTGCACGACCAGAGTGCCAAAAGATGCCATAAGAGTGCAGAAGGCTTCCGACATCTGCCACAAGGGGCCAGCGGCAGAGCCAGCCTAAACCCATTGCTGGCCCAAGCGGTCCGAGCTTGGAATGTCGAACCTCCCATCTCTCGGAATATCCTGCGAAAGGACGAGCTTTTGGACGTGCTTTCTGTCGCTTTTTGCAAGGCCAAGATTTGGCCGAAAGTTGCCGAGATGCTGCAAGGCTACCCCACACATTCCGCATCATCCGCAGCTTGGAAAACATCGGCGCAGGGATTCAAAGTGAACTGTGGAGCCTTTGTGTCGAACGACTACATCACGACATGGGAGCTTCCGAAAATTAGGGGGTACCGTATTTTGGGGTCCCTAAAATAAGGATCCTACTATATTAGGGTCCCGTATTTTCGGAAACTCCCACATCCATGCGCACCTCTGCCAGACAGTTGCAGTGGGGGGAGGGCGACCTGCAGGGGGCTCTTATACTTAGGGGCTGAGTACCCTAGCCCAAACAAGGCTAACCTTTTCAACAATGGTAGAATTATATATGCACCCAAAAGGTTAAAGGTTACCTACTCAGCTACTTAGTCTACGCTGTAATATAGTTTGGGGGCTTAGCTGCTGGGTGCCGCAGGTTACAGGGTTTGGGTGGCGCTTTCGGCCTCCCTGAACCCCAATCACCGACACAGCCCTGAATGCAAACTTGAACCGAATACCGAGCTGTCTTATGATTCCTCTAGCAGCCTAGCCACGAACCCTCAATTCCAACGGTGTGGAATTCAAAGTGCATGTGTAGTGGGGATTGCAGTTTTAGGTTTTATGATTCGGGTATTACCGCTGAGACTTGAGGCATTAGTACTCTTAATGGCCATTATGGTGTTAGAGTTTGGAGAAAAGAAAAGCCAAACCCTGATTCCCTCCCGAGGATCAACCGTGCAGTCTAATCTTAACACCCCAAACCCGAAAGCCCTGCTTGGAGGTTCATGGGTAGTTATAAGTGGGGTTATAAGTCCCCTAATTAGTCAATGTGGGTTATAATCATGGATACCCAAATTATAAGCCCCCACTTATAACTACCCATGAACCTCCAAATACCCTAAACCCAAAACCCCAAAACCCTTAAACCCCCAAACCTCAAACCTCATAGATCCCTTTAAAGGAACCCTCATAGATCCCTTAAAGGAACCCTCATAGATCCCTTAAAGGAACCCTAATAGATCCCGGCCTTTAAAGGAAGGAACCCTGCAACTGGAGCTCTGTCTGCATCCCCGCAGCAGAATATCTCAAAGCGCAGCGTCCGGATCAGCCGCGCTAGTCGTGCCAGGCGTAGCATCTTGATCAGCCTTTGGAATGCTGCAGGAGCTTACCAGAACTTAGCACACCCTAACCCCTAAAACGCTAATAACCCTAAACCCAACAACCAACAACACTTATCACCTTAATCCAGAAATTCCTCATAGCCACAAACCCCAAACCCAACAACACTCACCCTATCCCTAAAGCCTGTACCTAAACCACCAAAAGTAGGTGGTACGTCAGACTTGTATTCCAGAGACCTTGACATCTACACATATCCCTTATGAAGGCTCTGGGGGAGTCTGGGGGGTTGGAAGAGGGTTTCGGGGTATATTATAACTAGGATACCCAGTAACCTAAGAATAAAAAGGCCTCTCTTTTTGGTATTGGGTAACTTCATAAGGAACCTAGGACTACAAAAAGGGAATAAGGGTACTACTGGGCATCCTAGATAAGGAACCACCAAAATAGTGCCAGGTAATGTTGTAAATTTAAGGCCCCCGTAGTATCCCTTACGAAGGGGGCCTCTGGGAGTCCCGGGAGGGAGGGGGGTCATTCACAAGGACCCTTAGGGGAGGGTAGGGGAAGGAGGGTAATGGGTCTTAATACCTCCAATAAAGACTTACAGTAAAAGCCAGAAAGTTGGAATATGATTATCCTAAACCTTTCTATGGTAAATTATAGGGTATCCTACCCTGAAACCATATTCCAACTTTCTGGAGTTCCCTTTAACAAGGCCTGTTTAGGGAGCCCTCAGGGTCTCTATTGTTCTTTCGAGCCCAGCCGCATGACGACTTGGAGGTCCAGCGGATTGTCTTTGACCTGTGCAGGGGGAGGGTTTTGGGGTTTAGGGTTTAGGGCAGAAAGCGTCCGTTTAGGCCTTAGAGTTTAGGGACTAAGTACAATAGTACCAGCAACAATGGGAGCCTGATTGTACCCCAAAATAATTTACCCATGAATACTTGGAACAGGGTTACTACATAGTACGATTCTGTAGAGGGGGGCTGCAAGGGAATGTTCTTTCCAAGAGTGTCCATATATACCGCCGTTATGGAATTCAGCCCCCCCAAGACCATGACTGGAAAGGTCTGCCGGGGCCTAATTTTCATCAATGTAATCCCTTGGTGAAGGAATATACTTTATAAATTATAGTAGGATCCCTGATATGATTTAAGGTATCTTCCTTAATCTGACATGGACCCTCTGGGTTGCTAAATCTTCTAGCTTCTACAGCAGAGAGAGTCTCATCGCTCGAGCACGACGGCAACGATGACGACGACGAGGGCAGTTTGGTTTCTGAGCGTTTCGAGGCACGGTGGTTAACGCAGCTAAGGCTTTTGGGGTGTGTCGTACTGTATAGTTGTAGAAGAAAGACTACAAGGGAATACACTCCAGGTTGACCCTTCGAAGCCTCTGAAACATGTTGGTAAATTGAGCGCAGCGAGGGGAAATCCACAATGTCCCAAAGGCCTACTTGGCAATTCAACTGAATATCAAATCACTTTATTTAAGGACTACTCTTTCAAAAGTCTTCTCTACTCTTAATAATGACAGAGAAACGGGTGCTCTGGGTGCATGTGGCCTGTTGCAGCTGCACATAGAGAAAGATGGACACATCCGCCATGGACAAGAGGATGCAGCAGAAGTCGAAAATGTTCCTGGGGTTCTCGGGGCTTGGGGCGGGTCTGTGGGTTTGGGAGCTTTGGGGCTCTGTGTGGTCCTGATGGGATGAAAATCGGAGCAATTCGGTTGCGAGGCCCGGGCTGGGCTGTAACAGGGATGTGGCTGTCCGGCCACCGGGAGCTGTCTCTACTTGCTGTAGCGATTTGGATGATACGGGCTCAGGGTTCACGGGTTGACGGTTTAGGAACGAGGGGTCAGATAAATTCGGTCACAGAAGCAAACCAATTTTCACCGAAGGGTCCATGCATCTATGTATGCAGCCATGGTCGGACTAATTTCTCTCTCCCCTAAACCCTAAACCCCTTCACCCTAAACCCTCAACCCCAGCTTTGGCCACGATCGAAAGAAACTACGAGACCTACGATCCCTGTAAGACACTTCAACATCGGATTGACCCGATCAAGCTCCCATGGCATGTGTCCGCCTTAGGATTTAGGGGTTTAAGGTTAAGGGGTTCAGGGTTTAGGGGCCCAGGGCTTAGGGTTTAGGGGTTAAGGGTTTAGGGGTTTAGGGTTAACAAAACAAACATAACCTTCTCCAGAAGACCTTGAAACCTCTGCGAGTGCTTTCTAAGATCCGTGACCCCAAACGCAAAAAGCATAGTTCCACAAATGATACTGCTACCTACCCTAAGGCCTGATAGGTTTTAGTTCCTTTTCGGGATTACCTTATAGGATTCTAGATTCTAGATATGAACCACAAAAAAGGAACTACTATGGTGCCTTAGGGTACTAAGTCCCGTGAGCCCTTAAAATCATGATAAGGCTTGGGAAACGCGGGACATCCACCGGTTTAGGGCTTTGGGTTTAGGTTGAGATACCCGTAACCCTCAAACCTACCTTCTGCTGCTAATTAGGCTACTTTTGGGTTTAGGGTTTAGGGTTGGGGGTCTCCGAAATTGAAGCCCGCAAGGGCCCCATTATTGATTAGGATACTTTTGGGGAATGTTGTTATAGCATGACGTTGCACAACACAGCATAACTAACAAGGGACTCTGAGGGGATACGGCTTGTAATTATTCAAAGCCCTATAGTAGACTTGAAAACTGCCTTCTATTTTAAGCCCTATACCCACTGTTACGGGGTCCTGGTAGACCCCTACGTGGAGGATCATGGGACTTAACAAGTAAGACTATAAGTATTGGGGTTCTAAGTAACTATAAGTAAAGTTACCTTATTTATACCCCCAGTTACTAAGTCCACGTCCTGAGCTCTAAATGAACTATAAGCCAGTTCAGGGCGTAGCAAAACCGCAATCCAGCTTCCACCACTTGTCTGGGCCGCAGAAGTACCATCGGAAGGAATACCTTGGAGACAGCGTGCAACACCCTGAAACCCTCGGCTGTGACATAGACATCATAGACTCGGGATTTATAACTTTAGAAGCCTTTTTTCTATGGGTTATTCGACTAGGAAAGGGGATGCAGGAGAGAGCTGCTAGCCTAGCTTTTCAACCCAGTTTGCTGGCTGCGGTATATATACATATATATATATATATATATGCAGATATACACATGCGCCTGCATACTTAGAACTTATTGGGAAGGATGGTATGGTATCGACGCGCAGGGACTACCGCGGGGTGCTATTACGAATTAATCAGTCTGACCACCCCTGTATCACTTAACGCGTCGGGGAACGTCGTAACTAGAATATATACATATAGATGTGTGTGTACATATATATATATATAAGTAGGGGTATAAGTCCCTAAACCCTGAACCCTAAACCTTAAATCCTAAACCCTGAACCCTAAACCCTAAGTCGGGGGCGCGGGTACCCCCTACAACCTTGACGACCAAACTTTGGACCCAAGAAGAGCCGGTTTCTTTGGCCTCTTAAACAGCAACCTACTCTATAGTGTCAGGGTTTGGATCCCCTTGGCAGTCCCGTAACTTCCGGCAGGTTTTAGATTTTGAAACTTCAGGCCAGTCTTGAAAAATACGTAAGAAAATCTGCGGCACTCTCTCTTTTAATGGGCCACTTCCCAAACCTACCAGAACCTACTTATTCGGTCCCTCTATATGCCATATTAGGGTTTGCAACAAGAACCTACAACAAAGTAGGTTATGGAGTTCGATGTTGGTTAGTACTTTAAGGCGCATGGAACTTACTAAGTAAGGTTGTAAGTAGGTTATACATAGGATAACCCCACTTAGGGGACTTATAACCCCAATTATAACCTACTTACTAAGTCCCATGATCCTTTAAGTAAAGAACTTTGCCATATCCGACTTGCTAGATCTCCCATTGTCTGGGGCGCAGATCTACGGCTCTGAGTTTTGGGTGTGGGGTTGACAGGGCAGCAGGTTTATTTAGGGACTGGGCTAGAGTTGAGGGTCTATAGGGTTGAGGGTGGTTCAGGGCTTAGCGGCTTAACCGCGCGAAGTGGCACGAACATCTTTCCGAAGGCCTCCAGCAAGTAGAACGAGAGGAACGTGATCTCCACAGCCTGACTGACTGGCTTTCTGGCTTTGCCGCCTTGCTGTCCAAGCATGCAATCAAGACGGGCGAAGTCCCCCTAAACCCTAAACCTTAAACCCTAAACCCCAACCTCCGTGAGCTTTAAGCCGCCCCCCAAGTCTCAAATTCCCAAAACCCCGAATTACTGTCGGCGCCTGAGCAACAAGAAGCTCCAGTAGGTTCGAGAGTACAATGGTTATGGTACAAATATGAAACAAGCATACGGTGCAAATACAGAACTGCTATGGTATGAGTATGAATATATGGGTGGTTGTCAAAATTATGGTCCCTTTCGGGGTCCCTAATATAATACGGCACCTACTATTTAGGGTACCCAACAAGGGGACCCTAATTTTGACAACTACCCAAACTCCGAGGGGCATCGTAGTATACCTTACGCAGACCCTACACCCCGAGCCAATCACTAATCCCGTAAATCCAAGGGTAAAAGGAAGGACCCTTAATAAGGACGCCTAGGTATATACCCTTAATATAGCTATTATATACCCATTGTATAGCCCATTATAGGGTAGGGGTCCCCATGAAGGGTCCCTCCTCTTCCCCTTTGAGTAAGCCCTAGACGCAACATCCTAAAACCTAAACCCTCAAGCCTTCGCGAACACTCTGCTGCTGCAATGCCACATCAAACTTTGGATGTGGACCCACCAGAGCTACGAGAAGAGGCTTAAGTCTTAAGTAAGTATGAAGGAGTGTGTAGGGTCTTTTGTTGTTTAGGTTGCAGTTGTCTAGGGACTATCAAGGGAAAGTCTTGTACTGCTACCTATTCCGACCCCTATGATTCTCCGATTTTTTTCAAGATCGCAGCCCCGAGCACTGACGTTTGTTTCGAAGCTAAGAATGCTTTGCGGTCTCATGGGACTCTAGAGCCTAGGGTTAGGGTTTAGGGTTTAGGGTTTAGGGTTTAGGGTTTAGGGTTTAGAGTTTAGGGTTTAGGGTTTAGGGTTTAGAGTTTAGGGTTTAGGGTTTAGAGGGTAGTGGGGAATACTTGAAGGATCATGGGACTTAGTAAGTGGGTTATAATTGGGGTTATAAGTCCCCTAAGTGGGGTTATCCTAATTATAACCTACTTATAACCTTACTTACTAAGTCCCCTGCCCCTCCAAGTAGGCTTGTGTGTTATAGGGTTTAGGGTTAAGGGTTGTAAATAGGGTGTAACTCTTAGTAGAGCTACCGAAAATAATGTGGTACAGTGCTAGAACAAACTAAGAGTCTAATCCAAGCGTTAAGTGTGACCCCTGATCTAATAAAGGGTTTAGGGTTTGGGGTTTGGGTTTAGGGCTTAGGGGCCTTAGTAATTAGAAATCGAACAAGGTTTGGGGGTCCATGATGCTATTCCTATAATCAGGAACCCCCCGCAAAATAGTATTGGTAATTATTCCCAAACCCCAAGGGTCCAAGTACCCAATAATCATATACTCTCCAAAATCCTAACCTACATAACTAGTATCCTAAAACCGAGTACCTGATTATTGTGTCCTTTGGACCCTTGGGGAAAGTGCCCTGAAGTCTTAACCAGCTCTGTGCCGCGTGCCTGCCACATTTGCTTGTCCTCCTCACTCATGGCACTCTGGTTGTTCACCGACACGCCAATCAGCAGGATGTTGACGACCTCAGGATTCAAGGCTTAGAATTCTCCTTGGAGGATCATGGGACTTAGTAAGTAAGGTTATAAGTACCTTAATGTGGGTTATAAGTAGTTATAGGTATAGTTACCTGATTTATAACCCCACTTACTAAGTCCCATGATCCTTTAAGTAGGGTGTAGGGTCTAGGATTTCAAGGCTTAAGGATTGTAGGGTTTAGGGTTTAGTGTGCAGGGATTCAGGGCTTGGGGCTGTAGGCTTTAGGGTTCAGCGATTCAAGTGTAGGGTTTAAGGTTCAGGGCTTGTTTTGCTTACAGAGCTCCAGATCAACAAGTTAGGTCTCTCAAGTCTGTGTTGGGGGTCTGAGTCAAGGTGACCCACGGGTACTTGGAGTTTATCATAAAACACTCTCAAAACCCCTCTCAAAAACCCAACTTAAGAACCCTAAACTCTAAACCCCTGAACCCTAAACCCTAAAACCCTTGCAAAGCCTTAAACCTCCAAACCCCTTCATACCCGAAGCCCTAAACCCGAAAACCTAAACACCCTAAAGCCCCACCCAGAGGGTCCAAGGACTCCCTATCATGGGACTTTAGGGCCTTATTAGGTACCAAAAACCAGAACCCTAACGGTCAAGACGCGATCACCAGCGGCGGGATGACATCGAAGAAGAGGGTAGCTCCTTGGCTTTCTTCTCCAAAACTTTTCGTCTACTAGGTACAGTTCATGTACTCTAAACCCTAAATGCTAGAAACCCTAAACCTTAAACCATAAAACTTAAACCCGAAACCTTATACCCTATAAGCCTTAAACCCTAAACTATGAGATCCTAAGAGCCAAGCAGAAGAACGCCAAGGCTCTCCGCTGGAAGGTAGCCCAGCGGGTTTCCGATCGCTTCTGACACGGATCAGAGTTCTAAGGGTTCCTTTGAGGATCGGTGTCGGGCCCTTAAATGGATCCCTTCAAGCATGCCTTAAAGGAACCCTTACAATTTCCTGTAAGGATCTACAAAGGGCCCTTCAAGGGATCCCTTAAGCATGCCTTAAAGGAACCCTTAAGGCTTCCTTTAAGGGATCTACACAGGGCCCTTTTAAAGGATCCCCTAAAGCTTCGTGTTTTCTTTAAGGGAACTATCAGGGGTTCCCGTAGGTGATTTAAAAGGATGCCCCTTCCTTTAGGGGCTCAGAACACTCACGCAGGGTGAGATAGCTGCTAGCCCCCAAGCAGTCCCGCTTTTCCGCTCGCCTTTGCGCTAGCGTTGACATTATTGGGCTGCATCGCAAATCCCCGGCTTGGCACCGCAGGTTGCGTCGAGTCCGGTCCGCAGCGCGAAAAAAGCTGCATCGCCTTCAAGGCCCTACAGTGTATCAACTTGATACACTTCTGTGGCATCACGCCACACCGAAAGACCAGAAGGCTCGCTTGATGGGAAAAGATTGGCCTCGCAAGGACAACTCAAGCAGATGGCCTACACAGTCACCACGTGGTGGATACTGGCGTGGATCGCAGCATGTGCGCAGGAAGTCCCAGGCTGGACAAGGCTGGGAGCGATCGGAGAGAGCAGAAAGACAATTTCCCTCCTACGACGAGAACTGGAGGACAGACCCGGAGGAGCTTATTGTTGTCAAAGAGACTCGTACCACCGGGAAGAGAGGATCCCACCCAGTTCTTCAAGAAGTGCAGTCAGCAGTGAATGCTGTGCGAAAAGCGGATGCTCGCACGGTACGGCTCAGACAGGAGAAAGAGGAAAAGGAAAGGCGCTGGTCGGCATATGCGAAGAAGATTCAACTTTCCTTCATCGAGGAAAAGCAACGACACCTTGCGGCCCTCGACAAGTTCGACCAGGACATCGAGGAGTCCAGGAGGAACCAGGAGACGGCCCGCGAGACCTTGGGCCGAGCTGCCGATGGCTTTATGGGCCGTGTAGCTGCCCGATCCGATGGCCAGATGGAGTGGGAGGAACTTCTTGGGGCCGAGGTTCACTACTCTCCTGCATACGATACAGCTACGGCGATGAAGGACCTCACAGAGATATTTGGTGGATGCCACCAGGATTTTCTGCCCCAGGACGCACAGGTCCTCACCACAGACAATGGAGCTGGCCCCAGTGCGGGACCAGTTCGGGCCTATTCGGCAATGTCACCCAGGGCTCGTGCAGATCCGTATCCATCAGTGAGCCCATCTGGGCACCTCAAGGAATCGGAAGGAGTCCCAAGGCCCGCGCCTGCAGCACCTGCAGCACCAGCGGAGACACCGACTCCATCTCTGGTGCGGCCAACACCAGAATCTGGAATCCCGGATGCCATGCGCAGACAGAAATCTGGCAGAACTGCAGTGAAGCATCAGCTGCCACAGCAACCCGTCAAAACGCTGGATCCGGCTGGCCCATGTCTGGCGGACAAGCTGGCAGCAGCACGGGCAACCGCCCTTACACCCTTTGGTCTTGGCGACAGAGTCCCGGGTCCATCGACCAATCGACTGCACTCAGACGAGTCGGACGTGCGTATGAGAGAGCCGAGCGGTGCAGACGACGATCGGCCCCCTGGCGAGGTCATTCATGTGGAGCAACAAGAGGAACTCTCAGGAGCAGCATCGCCAGGACTTGGTCGCTTGGAGTGAGACCAGTTGTTGCATTTCCCTGGAAAATTCGAGGCCTAGGACTTTTTAGCCTATTGGTGAGCCTGGGAAGTTCTGAGAGTGGAGGGCTCATGGCCCCGCCTCTTCATTCTCGATCTACCCTGTTGCTCGTCGATAGGTTGCCTAGTCTCTACGGTCCGAGTCTTTCCAGTGGAAATGGCACCAATGGTCCAGGCCCCCTTTGTACAGTGCTTGGGTTCTTCGCTGTACAGTTTTGTTGGCAGGCCTCTCCATTCTATGCATTATGCACCTTCCTCGGGCTCCGGCCTAACCTCTCTCTTGACACCGGCTTGGTCTCTCTTCATTGGTTTCTTGTTGAGGGCCAAGTTGGTGTTCTGTCTTCCTCGGAAACTTCCCTCTCGTACTGGGCTGGTACGATAGGGTGGCTTCCCCCGCCACAAGCAGTCAATCACCCACTCCTGTGGCTGGTGGCACATCCTGGGTCTCGTGCACTTTCGGTTATCCAATACCTGCCGAAGGTTGACATTCCCCTTTTCCTTAGGGTCTTGGGTTTAGGCCCTTTCCCTCCCTCCTTCTTGGGTTTAGATACCCCGTATACTGCCGGTGCCACTTGTCTTCCACTTCCCGGTGTGTATACAGTTCGGGCCTCCAGCCGGCCCTCCGTGGCGAATTCCGTACCAGCGCTAAACACACGAATCGGTAGCTCTGGGTCGTGGGCGGTACGGTTTTGCTACGTCTGGGTGCTGTGTAGCATAGCAGCTATTGCTGGCATTTTGCGAATCCACACGCGTTTCCACTCTGTCTGTTCTGTCTATGCCTGTCCTGCAATCAGGCCATGGAAGCGCGATGTCAATGAGGCTGACCCCGCTCACTACTGGCGGTCATTCTGCAGCGGCCTAGCCACTGAAGCAGTAAAGGCCCCAATGCGCCTACTTGGGGGTCAGGCCCTTCCCTGTGCGGTCACCAACCACGCTGAGTGTGCTTGCACTTGGGCTGCTCTCTTGCTCTGTGGTCAGCTCTCTCTCTCTTCCATAAGAGATACAACGCTGGCACAACAAGCCCAAGGGATTCTCTTGTCAATGCAATTGATCTGCCTGATGAGTCTCTTGGGGTTGCTTACGACCCAGCTTCGCCGAGCCGTCCCGGGCATGAAGCCCGGTCGCTACTCACGAGACGACAAACATAGGAATATCAGTATCGCTTGGAATGTCCTACTCCCGCAAAGCAACATCCGTCTGCGGAGTGGCAGCAAGCGTCAGGTGCATCAAGTAAGCAAGATGGCGTGTCCAGGCCATAAGCCAGGACCTCCAAGCAGACCAGGATCAGGCCGATGTCGTTGGCACATTCCATTCCTTCTGACGGCGCTCAACTGCCCACATCAAATCTGGGCAGCGCCGACTGATTGGGGCGAAGCTGTCAACATTCTCATCACAGCTGCGCTCCTGTACCCTGACCCTCTTCCGTTGCGTGACCCATCAGACACAGTCACTGCAGACCTCAGGCATGCCCTGGAGGATCTTGACGCAGCTGTTGCGCAAGCTGACCTGTGCCAAACACACTGCTGTGCTAGTCTTTTGATGCAGAATGAAGATATACCGGCACCCCCGCCAGAGCTCCGCGCGCAGCATCAGCCTCAAGATGATCCAATCCACGGCACCTTTCAGATCCTCTCACCGCACTTCCGAACAGAGACGGTCACTATTACCATGAGGTTTCCATGTCCTTACTCCTCTCTGATCTCTGCGGTGCATGATGCTGTGCAAGGACTCACGTATGTCCAGCCCTTTGGGGTGGAGTTCGGTCAGGCTATGGTTCCTACGCTCCCACAATTAGCGCCGGACCATGGCTCATTCCTGCTTGTGCCCTCTTGGGTGCCGACTTCCGGGCTCATCATTATCATTTATGACTTTGAAAGCCTAGGAGGGCCCACATATGCTGGTTACGCGCATGACAGGCTTTCATTTGCAGACTGCCAGCGTGAGGCCACGAGGCACCGCTTTGCGGACTGGGCTGCCTTTCCATTCGGACACACTGCTGCCCTTCGTCCAGGAGATAGTCTCCTCTCTGTTATGGGAGGTGTGGTGCAATTCTGCCCTTCGGGTGAATCACCTACTTGGTTTAGCCCGGTTACTGCCAGGTTGGATAGGCCTAACATGTGGATGGCGAATCCCCAGCTCCCGACTGAGGCCGATGACCCGCCAGTACTGATCTTGTACCACGACCAACATCTTCTCTACTCAGGCAGGCGTTTTCCAGGCACGCATCCGAGAGAGTTTGTTGCGGACTTGATTGACCGTCGGCCAGACACGTCCATCTGCAGTGTGCCCACTGGAGATAACTTCGGTAATCTAGCCCTGCACGGTATAGTCTGTCGTGGGGTTTTAGCCACATTTCCGCTCACACCGATCCCTGATCGCCAAGGGATCTTAGTCTTCCTTGACCCACGGAGGGCTAATTTGATGCCATCCTTCACATACTTGCCAGATCGCAGAGCTGACCCCCAATACCTCATTGATCTTTTGCACATCCGGCCCCCGCCTGCGTACAAGATAGCCATGAGACCCAGGCCAGGAACCGATGGAATGATGCATTTGTCCGAGGGGGATACGGTCACTTTTGGCTTTGCACTAGACCTTCCCGGGCTTGACGAAGGGGACGAGGAAAATGAAGAGTCTGCAAATGACTCTGACTCTGACCCGGGATCAGATGACTACCACTGTTCTGCCTCTGGAGGGGCCTGTAGGCGCTAGGGAAAGCCATGTGAACCCCTCCTCGCCTCACTCCCGATCCCGTTCGCCTGAGCGAGGCCAGAGGACATCTTCTGCAGGTGGTGACGGTGACGGCCTCTGCCTGGTGCTGGTCACTGACTGGGCTTTGTTGGAGAACCCTCTAGTCTGCTCATGCCTACCCATGCCAGCTGCTTCTTCTTTGCCCATCGGCTTTCAAGACCCGTGCCTCACAAGCAAAGCCTGGCGTTTTACGGATTTGCAACTTGAAAGTTGTTGCATCCTTGAGGCCGCCTGCCAAGGGCACACTTTGGGCTGCCGAGGTGAATCCATAGCCCTGCCTGCTGACCTCCATCCGATTGCCGGACCTCTGCCACTCAAGGCAAGATGTGAAGTCAGTGAAGCTGATTGCTGTGTCTCAAAAAGCTCGGAACACCTTGGAATCCGCAGCTGCAAAACCTTGCAACCTCTCCCCTGCCAGAACCAGAGGGATAGGGATCGAGTACAAGATTTGCGCAGAGTCACCCGTGATTTTGGGGGTCATTGGCCCCTGCCCGATGACCCTTCTATAAG